TTTTGGTGGGAGTCACCTCATTCATCAATAGCCCTTATGCTGGGAGTCATGCGATACTCTACTTAGGCACTGATGCAGCAATAAATCTGTTTTTATAGAATGTAACGCTGCCTGTATTTCTCCATTAGGTTGATCCTGCGGTAAGGGCAAAGGATGCTTCAGATTGTAATGGTCAAGCTCCTGACAGGCTTTTAAATTGCACCGTACAGCGGCGCGGTGAGGCAAAAAACGGATTCACGAAACGAGGAGGAACAGCATGCAAGGAAATCCTGCTGCATATACATACAAATGATCTCCTTGCAGACGTGTTTTTGTGCTACTTTACCATCAAATGTTCTCGATTTAAACTTGCACGGACAAAATAAGAGGTTAGCGTGTTTTACATCAAGTCACCCACACAACAGAGGAAAGGCGACAGTAATTCTTTCAAGATGTGAGTTTATGTAATGCCCTTGTGAGTTTTTAGCATCCTCATGTAAAATGGATGGCAAGTTACAGGGCAAAGAAATGAACAACAACAAACTGCCGAACACACAGCCACCAGAGACTATCTTCTCATCTCATCTATCTCCCACAATCCAGTGCGGTGGGCCGTCGCGGCAGAGCGCCAGTCAGGCCGGTGAATCTCGGCGCAGCCTTATCTCCCAGCGGCGGAGGAGGAAACGGAGGTCCTTTAAAGGGCTGAGGTCATTTCCTCTGCCTCCGGGCTCTGGCAGGAAAAATAAAATGTCTCCATTCGGTCAGCCCTGCTTTATTTCAAATGCCGCCGCTGCCTTTTAAGAGGCCCTTGTGGGCACGGATGGCAAATGAGCGGTTTTTGGGTTCTCGCAAGCTATTCCTTTTCTCTCTCCCTCTGCCATTCTCAATCCCCGACTCCATCTGTGATGTAAACCCCCAGATCTCCGCTGTATTTCCACGGCATACGTGGAGGCGCACAGGCAGATATATAGATGGAGTGCTTGGAGAAGAAACTGAGACGGAGAGTGAGAATGCGGAGGAGAGAAGAAGATGAAGAGCTGAATGCCTCCTCTTACCCACAGCGCTCGACAACCCTGAAGCCCTTTCACAACTTCCTGTTCCTCTCTGAACTGGGCTACATCCAAAAAGAGTGTGTGTGTACTTATCAGAATGCACAGTTTATATGCAAGCGTTGTGAGAGTGCAGATGTGTGTGTTCTCGAGTAAGGGAAGGAGTGAGGGAGTGAGTCAGCGCTGGGGAGATACAGAGGCTCATTGAAAGGCCTGCGTGGTGCTGGTGCTGGTGATGCTGGTGGTGGTGGTGGTGGTGGAGGAGAGAGCAGCCGGAGCAGGCAGACAGGCAGGCACACATGCTGTGATGCTGGGAAGAGGATTGATAGATCTATTGCGCGGCCACTGCTGCTGCTGCTGCTGCTGCAAGAGGCGAACGCACCTCAGGCAGATGGATGGGGAGTGCGTGCGGGGGTACGATTAGTCTTTGTGTGTGCCTGAGTGTGCCCTTTGTGTTCGAGTGCGTGGGAGAGGTGTATTACATGGTCTTGGAGTGTAGTTTTTGTGATGTGGTGCTTCAAACAGGACTTTACAGTACTTCACAGCGCACACACACACTCGTCCACCGAGGGGCGAACGTATAGACAGATGTAGGGTAGTGGAGGAGCGATGTATGTTCATGCCAGCGCGTGGGCACCTGAGTCGCTTTTATGTTTGTATGCGCCAAGCGAAATACGCGCTTCCCTAACAGCTGACCTGCAAGCATGGAGAGCGTCATCATCGCTGTGTTGCTGTTTTTCCACAACAGACAGCCTCCACTCCCACGCTCGCCATTCCACCTCACATAGCATCAGCTATCCATCTTCTATCACGGCTCTTAAGCTCAATTTCATTCTTTTTATAGGCACAACAAATAGCACGGTTTTGCTATAGAAAGGAAGGCACCTGGCAGCACTGAACAACGATGGACGGAAAAATAACGAAGCTACACCGAGCACATTCCGGCTGATAATTACCAATCATTATTATTGTGTTATTTTTAATAAAAATCAGACGGATAAAGGTTTAGTACAATAGTATGCACATTAAATAAAGAAAGCAGGTGCCTGTGACAACCGGGTGAAGCAGCCACAATGCACTGAGGTTCCTGGACCCTGCAACCACCTCTGTGCACAACTTGACATCGACCCTCAGAGCAGGCTGCAGAGAGCATCTCGTAAAGGGTTGGTGGGAAAAAACAAAGTCCTCCGTGTTTTTAGACTGCAAAGCCTGTCGTGCAAGGGCAACCAACGGTCACCGACTGCCACAGCTGACCAAAGGAGGTCTGCAGACGCATACGGAGGCGGTGAGATGCCCAGGCGGCTGCAGACTAGCATGCCTTGGGAGGCCTGCACAGAGGGCAGGGAGGGAGCACACTGGTGGTTTGTTTATGCATCTGAACCCTATGTGCTTTCATTAAAGTTTGCATCCAATGCGTGAAACTATCCAACATGGAAGCATGTAAAGGCAGATAAACAGTAATGCAGGTTGCAGTCGCAGGTACACGAGCTGCACTGGCATTCAAACAATAACGCTGTTGTTGATGTAAAGAATCGACCCACTTCTCTACAGTTTATGCCCAGAAATACGTCCAGGAGATCTACTTCATGTTGAACCTGCAATATGTTTACATTGAGCATGACTGTAACATCTGAAAGCCCTCCACAAAGCGAGTAATTATGCATTCTCTACATGGCTCTTTGTTTAAATTTCATATGTTTAAGATCATCAGCTGGGCACTGTGCCAGATAACATCACAGCGGGAACACTGAGCCAGTTTTACGACTTTTTTGCTGTGTTAGCATGTGGCCCGTCCTAGAGTCCTCTGCCTTTGAACCACCTGCTGCCTTGGGTGGATGTGCTGAGCAGAAAAAAAGGAGCTGCAGCGCTCGTATCAATACGAACACGACCGAATGGTGCCAGACGAACATGTAAATCAGCTTAAACAATACATCAGTCTGGTAGATACACATACAGGCTGTCTTGCTCTACTTCTATTTCTTGTCAGGAAATTATATTTTCTCTGACAATATGTAAAGTTAAAGATTACCAAAAAGGGAACGGAAAGAATATATTCAGAGTAGTCTGTGAGTAGAGGATATGTTACCTAACTCTTTGTTTTCCAGCGGCTGATTATCTATCTTTCCCTCTCTCTCAGAGATGACTGGTCCTGACCTCCTCTCGCCCTTTTTTTTTTTCTCCTCACATTGTTTTGGCAGCGCGTTCACTGAGCTGCACTAAAAACAAACAACACGTGGGGGAGGAGACGAGGTGGAGGACGGTCGGAGGAGAGAGAGAGAGATGCTCGCTGCGTGATGGCGGCACAGCGGTGATAAGCCACCGCCCTGACATTTAAACAAGTGTCGGGGTCGCGGGGGTCAGATGACTGGAAACAATGCGTGACCAGATCGGGGCGATGTGCCGATTTTTGCTTTGTTACCAGGAGCGCACGCCGGGCCCATCGGGTTTCAATACACCTGCTCGGCTCGTTTACGCTTTGATACCTACTCACCTTTCAGGAGATACCGAGATAGGCATGTGAGAGAGCGGCAGAAATTATATTTTTGTGCCTCACCTCGACTTGTCTTTCAAACACTGAAAAACGGTAAATTTCTTTTCAAGGTTGCTAAGCCCTTCTCCTCGCACTCCTTCTCCCTCTCTCCCTCTCTCACTGGGTGCAGAGCAGAACCATCCTTTCCACTCATAAAATACGTCTGCTTATATTTGCTTCTTGGCATCTCGGCGGCGCTGCATTCCAGGAGGGTGAGTTATGGGAAATGTTGTCTCCCACACAACACAGCGCTAAGCTGGGCTGATTTTTTTTTTTTTTTTTTTTTTGTGCCGTGCATAACTCAGGTCAGCTGGACAGCAATAAACATTTCATTTCTTCTATTTCGTCAATCACTGAATTTCACAGAGGGTTTGTCTCAGCCCTTTTTACAGTCCCAATCCACTCTGTCCTGCGTCCTGTGGCCTTTACATACATCCTTCCTACTAAAATGCATCCCGGCATTGGATTCCAGTGTTTTCTTTAACAGCTACAAGGCCTCACAAAAAAGAACCTGTCAACATAATCAGCCCTGTTTTTTTTCTTTTCTCTCTCTATCCTCTAAAAGGCAAAGGTTCTTTTCCTCAACATCTTGACCCTGAGCATGCCTGGCAGGATAAACTCATGTGTGCAGCAGGGTTAAGAAGGCGGCTTCACCTTGAAAGGCCACACTTCAGAGCCCGGGAAACCACAAAAAGCAATTAAAAGTATTGATGGAACTTCAATAGCTCTTAAACAGTGCTGCCAGACACCTCAGGGCAAGTAGCAGACTAATCTTTTTTTTTTTTTTTTTTACCCTCTCCCCTCATCCCTCTATCCTCTCTCTCCCTCTTTCACGATTTCTTCCCTTCAGACTTTCGCCTGTCTTCATCATTACCACCTGATTGCTCAAAAAAAATGTGTAAAACGTGTCAGCAGCCGTGTGAGGCAGGTGGCAGTAAGAGTAAGGTTGACAATGATAATAATTGGAGTTTATCTAATCCCAACTAGCTTGTTAGTCCTCTAATTGGTCGAGTATGCGCGTATGTTCAAGCATGTAATTGTGTGTAGCGCGCGCACTCCGGAAACCATTTCAAATGAGCAGCTAATGCCGCCGTGTGTGCATCATTTAGCGTGCAGACGCTAATGGAAACACCCTTTTCCAAAAGATTGTCGTCCATATGATAAAACAGGAAATCGAAGCGGAGCCGGGGAGGGGCTGAAATGGTGGCTGTCTGCCCACTCATCCTCTGGAGCAGGGCAGCGGGTTGTTTACCCGAAGCCTTCCTGCAGCGTTAAGCCAGCCACTCACTAAAGCACTGATTTACGACGCGCAGCTTCCTCGGCTGATGTCTGAATTTACGCGAGGGCTTGGATCGCCGTTCCCGTGACGAGACAGTCAGAAGAGTGATGGCGGATGCATTAAAATGAGGCGGGAGCACGAGGCACAAAAAGTAATGGCTTACCTTTGCACTGGTTAGTGTTCTTATCCAGAATGGCCTTGGTTGACACTATTTTTCCATACCTGTAGAGGCAGAGAGATGAAATTTAGTGTTTTTGACTCACAGTGACCCACAAAACCTTTGACTGGCAGCGCAGTTCATTCAGATCGCCAACCTGTGGTTAAAGTAGATGTCTTATTTTCCATACTCTCTGCCATTTAGTTGCAACCAGCAATTTGCAAAGTCACACAAATGTCAGAAGCCGTTGGAAAGAGAAATCACTTGAGGTTAATAACATTATGTGTATGGCTGACTCCAAATGAATGTGCAGCCCTTTGACATTTCAGAGAGTCACTCTGGACATTTTCAAAAGGTCTGAAAGCATACGAGAGCAGCAAACGGCCATAAAAGTTGTTATGTTGGTGCATATTTAATGCTGATGAGTTCCTTTCAAATATAAAAACTGTACAGTGAATAGAAAACACAACATCAGGTGTTAATTACTGATCTTTAGAGGCACTGATGCAAAGTAAGGGTTCATTCTTTATGTTAAGCTAAGCTAACTATCGGCAGCCTCCTAGACCAGACACATATGTGCAACAGCGAGCCAAAGCATTCGGACCACTCCCGGATGAAGTGAATAATGTTTATTATCTATGACGCACGTCGAGATCTGAAATATTTCAGCTGTGAAGTAGTCGGTTCTCATGGTTACTGTGCTGGATGAGGGAGAAAGCGTTAGCGTAAAGATCTTTAGAAGGGTCAAACCCCGATGGACCGGGCCAGGGACTGGGGCCAGAGCATTTCAAAGCTTACGGGTCTCCCAGTTGGAGTTTTTAATACCCACCAACAGTGTTTTAAAGAGGGAAAAACCCTGACTGGGTGTGTGCTCAAACAAGTCCGATCCATGTCAGTTCCATCGCGCAGGACTTAAAGGGTTTTGCTGCAGCTAAAGTACAAGAGAGAGCAATCTAAACTGACCAAAAAGTTAAATTATTCCTTTAACTATACTCGTTTATGCTACTGTTTCATTTGCAAATGAGAAAACACAATCTTGTCTCCCTGGACTTTGTCAGTTTTTATGCATGGAATCTGTGATATAACTTATTCATAAGAAGCACATCATGTGTACGATGCAGCATCCGGCCCAGTGAAACCCAATACAAAACGCCAGAATTGCCAAAGAAGTAGAACCGCATGAAGACAGCTATGCTCATGTCACAGCTCTGTGCAAAACTTAAATATATAGTATTTTTCTATTCCACAGTCGTGCATGCAAAGTGGGTTGCTATGAAATTCTCAGCGCCGAAAGACTGACCTCAGTGACTGACGGTGAGTTATTCTGTCTGCTTGTCTCAGCTAAAACTGCAACACGCTGCATTGTGTGAGACGCTCTGTAAGTACAGTTTGGGCGTGTGCGGCTGCGTGCACGCGTGTAGATGTGCTGGATGCATATTTGTATATGTGCAGCCGCTTGTAGAATCACATGCGATGCGTACACGTCTGCGGATAAACGTATAAGCGAGAACAATCCCCTGTGTGTCGAACGCACATCACAATGAGTGAACGGTGGAAAAAAACAACCCCTACACACACACACACACACACACACGCACACACACACACACACACACACACACACACACACACACACACACACACACACAC